TCCCTCCTCACCTACAATCCATTGCCTTTTGGATAATGATGCCGAGTGCTTTGGGAGAGCTCCTTCTTTCTGGGTGCTTATGGAATGGAGACCACTGATCTCTCTCCAGATATTTCACACCAAGAGAGTGTTTAGAGAACATTGCTGAACTGTGAGTAAGGGTCCACAACTAGCAGCAGCTTCTCTGCATGACAGCTTAGTTGATAAGTACCTGGTTGCCACTTGACTGTACCTTGACACCAGATACTATACTCTGGCCAAGGCATTTGGGAATAACATTACCACATTAATTTTAGGCAAGATGTCCTTCTGGTGGTGGACCCCAACTCCCTCTGGATAATCTCTTGCAATGCTGTTTGGTATCACTGACAGCATCAGATTATGTACAGGCACTCTCATCCACAACAGCTAACCTGCCTGGGTCTGTACAGTGTTAGGGAACTTGAAACAAAAGGGCCTGTGTGCAGTGGAGCTGGGGGGAAGAGGATTTAGGCATAACTCATCATTGCTACACTTTATGGAAAAAGTCTTTGGATAGACACTGAAAACTTGCCTCTAGGTACCTTTGTAAACATACCCTGAAGAATAAGTTACAGGTAACTGTGTTGCTGCCTAAGTATTTTAATTGCTTTGGATAGCATTGGTTTAAAATTTTCTAGGAGCAATCTAAGGTAGCTTGTTAATGTCTTTTTGCTTCTTCCAAGTTGCTTCTTCAGAGTTACTGCAGGAGACAGTGCACAACAGGAATCGGTAATGACTATTTTTTGGCTCAGTTTTTCCAGAGTCCCTCACCATCTGTAAATGGCAAGATGGAGAGTAAGGTGTTGAGGATGTTTGACTGTCAATTCAAGGCCACTTCAAATAAGTGCTTCAGTGCAAAAAGGAAGATGGTTGGTGTGAAATGAGCAGATTAAGCAGAGGGAACTGTATCTCCAGAGATAGAGTTTATTTTGTTTAGGAAGATGCAGTATTGGACACGGGTGTGAAGAAATTGTCTTTGAAGATGTCCCAAAGACAACCTGAAAGGAGGCAGATAGGAAATAAAAAATGAAAAAAGGCCATTGCTGTTATGTGAGAGGGACTCCTGAACTGTAGAGAACTGTAATACAGAAACAAACCAACCACCTCCTTAAAAAAAAGCTGTACAAAAGTGAAGTAGACTACAAAAGTTGATCTAATATTTTTACTTAATTTTAAATTCTGTATTAAAAATTAATACATTAAACTCTTATAAAAGTAAGGCACATGCAAAACATGTTGTGCAACTTCTGACTTTCAATTCTTACCAACTAACAAGCATGATTTTAATTTGGCATTTCTAAAGACTTGTTTTAACCCATGCAGGATATGTGGAAGAAGGTTAAGTTTGACATTGCACCACTTAAATCTAGATTCTGTGCTTTCTGTCCTACAGTAAGCAGAGATGGTCATATCATACTCATACAAAATAAAAATCAACTCAAGTACAGATTCTGAATGTGATGACCAACATGTAAAACTTAAGAATATGAAGTTATATCCATGATGATACATCAGTAATCTTATTCAGTACAAGACAGTTTGGCAACTCCAGTCTGTGTAATGCCAGTGAGCAGTTGCTAGTTATCAGTATCATACGATGCTGAAGACCATGGAAAGATACTGCTCATAGGACACCTGAATCCAGCCATCTTGATCAGTATCGTACCGTCGGAACACATCAGTCAGCCTCTAAAAAGGGAGGAAAAAACCATACATTGTTTTGTACATCAGGAAAGTTTGGACTCGTAGGTTTCTATAGCTTTATCAATATCGCTCTGTTCATCTTCTCAGTAGACACTTCACAGTCACATACAGGGCTAGCTCTGCTGTGTAGTAGATCTGATTTTAAAACTGCCTTATGCTACAGTACCCAAGGCAATCTAGGCATTTCTTTGTAGACCAGACAGCTTTTTATAAGTGGCTTTAAAAGTGGGGGGAACAATGTCCAATGCTCATGAGACATTTGAGAGTCAGCTGGAGACAGAACCCAGCAAGTACCGTGTCCATTTCTCCTCACCAAATACACACGGTGTATTGGTAGTATCTGAGCTGTCTCTGTATAACCCCAGAGGTGCCAGGCAGTACAGATAAGAGAGTGGACCAAAATAATTACCAGCATGGCTTCACTAACAGCAGCTGAATGATACTCCATTTAAAAGTCCTCTTTACCTGATTTTAAGTTTGTAACAGTATAATTGGCTTTTATTACCACTGAATATAAAGACAACTTATGTTTTAGCAGACTTATGGCTATAGACATAAAGGACAACAAAACACCCATATGCAAGTAACAGATACTACTTTTACAGGGAAGTCCTTTCTCTTCATGTTTTGTATCAGAAGATAGATTAAGATACTGTTGCAGTGCTGGCCAGTGTCAGAAGAGCAATCTTCTTCCTACTAAAACTCAGCTTGTCCACTGCTACATTTTCCCAAATTTCCCCCAAAGTCTTACATACATTGCAGAAAAGCCAGAGACACTTAACAGAAACCTTAAGTGCTGAGGTGTTTGATCCAGTGTTTGATTTCTGAACAAAATAACATCTGTACAACTGTAGTTCTCTCTCTCTTTATAAATATATAAAAATATATGCATAAACACACGTGAATTTCTGTTGTAAGAATTTTGTTTGTTTGCTTTAAATGTCTTCTAGTACCATTGCTCCTGCAATGAGGAAAAGTGAGGAAAGGCTGAATAATTCAGCTGCTACATCATATTGCTTTTAGTCAGAGCTGTAACTATGAGATAAATAAAAACCTCACAATTCAGATATGAGCCTTACAGGCACCACAGGGCATGACACACTTCAATTTTAACACACCCAAGATCCAGAGGAAGTGTTTGTATTTAGCTAATGGAAATAGTGTTCATGTTTTCCTTTTAAAACTCAAGTCTATTTTGCAATTTTTTTTCCCTTAGAAAATAAATGTTTCACAGGTAAAAAAAATTTGCTTGTGATGCAAACAGGTAACAAGTGGAAAAGTAAAAAAGATGTTTCTAGCACCTCTTGTATCTGTGATCCAAATGGTTTATTTATAAGCAAGTTCCAGATCCAGTATTACAGTAAAGTGAGAATCAAAAAGCTTAAGATTATTTTTTTTTTGTACACTTGGCATTAAAGTACCTCCCTTTTCTTACCTGTAAAACAACACAGCACTGAATAAAGTCATCAAAAGCAACTTGTCCTCTTCCTTGTCTGTCAAACTTCCGAATAAGGACATCATAGAATTGATCAGACAGTCGGTAACCTTGGAAAGGAGAAATGCTTTAAAAAGTTTCAATTACCATAGTTCTTCCATAAAAAATAACTAATTATGCTGCTCTGTAGGTGTGTGTAACAGAACCAGAAAACAGTAAGGAGTTATAAGAGGTTGTGGTTTTTTTGCCAAATATCTCCACTGAACAAAAGCAGTGATGAACTGAAATGTATGCAGTAAAAACCATGCTTAATAATAATTATAGACAGAGTCATGGTAAACATAATTACTGATTAAAGTGACAGGCTGGTTGAGGGAATGGTTTAGAGCCACAGCTCAAGTTTTTACACGTGAAGTCATTTAAATGAAAGTTCTGATGCCATCAGAATGCCACTGTAGTGCAGACAGCTGGCTTCATTTCAAAAAGCAGCAAGCTGGATCAAGTATCTCTGTAAGTTCAGACATTTACCTGAAGTATTGGTTATGCTATTGGAGCAGCTCACAGGGAAACAGAAAACATTCCATGCATGTACTGACACCTCCAGTTTTGTTTTTTTTTCATAAAAGGAAATGGTTTAAAAAAAAGTGCTTGTGGCATGAACATCTTTAAAAGGTACCTTATAACAAGGTTATAACCCAGTCATAAAAACTATAATTACAAATGAATTACCAAAACCTGTTAGTGCTTGTTTTAGTTCATTTTTGTCAATCATCCCAGAATTGTCTCTGTCATACGTTCGAAACACATTCTGCCAATCTGTGATGTACTTCCAGACTCCTGTGAATTCATTGAAGTTCACACCCCCTTTGTTTTCTCTGTCAAACATGCCTGAAACAAGCAAACAAAAAGAAACACATACAAAACCTTAATCATACTACTCTTCAGTAAGACCTGCTCATATTTTAAGAAGGAAGCAAGAGCACATTGTGGAAGGTACTGAAGACAGAAAAGAAACTGCAGTACAACAAGTGGTATTTTGGAAAGTTCTGCCAAAAAAGTGCAAGAAGTCATCCACTGAAGGAGGAAAGGATATAGCAACATAAAAAAGAACCAGGATGCATCACAGAATGTTTCTTTTTCCTGGGTTTTCATGTCCGGTTTTGAAATATTCAGGGCTTGATTGATCACCCAGTGACAAAAGGGGCAGGGTGGTGTGGGTGGTTCTTTTTAAGGACTTAAGTGTATTGACTGCCAAAGGTCATCTGCATTTGACTTCCTGATACTGTCATGTTTATGCAAACAGCACAGTAGCACAGTGACAGAACTCAGGCTGCTGATGAATACTTATTAAAAACAGCAAAATATTTAATCCTTGGATTTATGAACTGTATTATAGAAAATATGGGGTTTTGTGTTTGGATTTTTCTCCTGTTCAACCACCATCATCTACATTACTGGAAATCACAATTAAAATATTGTAAAGCTTCTGTTAGGTCTTTCTGGAGCAGAACATAGCATTAAAATGCAAGACAGAAAAAAATGAAATACAAAGACAAGCTATGTAATAGCTTTTCAGCATGTTTAAGCTGACAATTTCCCCATGCACAAATGACATTTGCTATGTATCCAGGAGTACAGTAGCATTTTCTCAGGCTACTTTGACAAGTGCCCATGGAAGGGGCAGTCCTGTATTACTGAAAAGGGAAAATACTCAAGTTTAACTGACTCCTGCTGGGCTGTCTGGAGAAACAAAGGAAAAAAACAAGTAAAGACATATTGAAACATATGCCATCTAACAATAAGAGACCAGCTTGTTGACACTACAGCCAAATTAGTTCAAAAGACCTTTAAGCAAGCATCCATCATTACAGGAGAAACATATTTGTATTGTAATACTTGTGCATACTTATTTCTCTCAACCAGTGCAGCAATTGATAGCATTGTCAGTTGTCTGAACAGATCACAAACCAGTGCCTTGACTATAAAATGCACTCACCAAGAATTGACCTCACTGTTGCTGGATTAAACGGAGTCCACGTGCCTGAAACAGAAAGAATTACTTAGTGCCTAAATACTAAGCAATGTTTTTAAAAAAATGCAACCAACCAACCAACCAACAAAATCAGATAAGAACTTCAGTTAAATTCAGAGCTCGATGACATGGAGCTAGCATATTATAAAATAAGGCTGCTCCAAAGTAGCCATCTTCTTGACCATTCAGAGATGACTTCAGACCAATGCTTTACAGGTACTACACAGAAAGCAACATTTTTCAGGCTGCACCAAAAAAGAAAAAAAAACCTCAAAAAACCCCAAAACCTTGGAAGAACTAAGAAGGATTTTTTTTCATCCCACGTAGTCAGGAGGTATTGGATAAAAAGCAAGATCAAAACTGAGGTCCCACTTTTTCTACTCGTGGGAGCAGAAGGGTTTTATGTTGCAATTCAAATGCAGTCTCCTGTCTATTCCCCACTAAAACCCCATCTGCTCGCTTCCTATTTTCCAGGTGGATTACTCCAGGGCATTTAGTTTCTGACAAGTGAAAAGAAAAGGCTCCTAATATGGCATAACCACACAGTGCAATTTAAAGTCGAAATTAGTATAAATCCCACCTCCACTGCTAAATCAATGAAGTGTTAGTTTAAATTAGTATTTAGAGACTAAGAAATGGTGCTGCTTAAAAGGGCCTGAGCAGTAATCACCTGAAGAGGAGCTTTGTACTTCTCTGAATATTTAGAGGCTAGTCACTTGGGAGCAGTTTTCACTTGGTTTGGGAGCATTCCAGAGCGCCAGGAAGCATTAAGCTTTAAATTAAGAGAACTGTTGTGCCTGATCTAGACTTTCACCATCAAGTCTCTAGAGCCTGTGAAGGAACCAGGAAGACCAAGAAGCATATGTGAAATGAGCTGTGGTTGAGTGCAGGGACCACAAAGGAACCAGTAAGACTAGGGGTACTGTTTGCAAGGATGCAGTTAGCTGCCCACAAATTCCTGAGAGAAAAGCTGTTTTGGTAGGAAGCAGGCTTTGTGAAGGTGTGGCTCTTTGCTGCATCAAGCTGCAGTGGTGTAACTAGTGCTAATAGCAGTGCTGAATTTCTCCCATAGAAGGGAAACTATGTCAGTGTTAAGTCTACAGATGCAGCAACGGGGGAAAACTATACTGTAGGCAGGCCATAGGACTATTTGCACATAAAGAGAAACATAAGCAGAGAAACAGAAGAGTAAAAATGGCTCTGAAAATGCTTAAGCATTAGTTTAGACAGAGAACATCAGTACCTTAGAGTTGTATGTCTCCTGACAAAAATAAAAAATAATGGAATTATTAACAGGGTGCCAGCATTTAACTCTGAACAGAATAGAGGGGAAAAAGTGAAAATACAGTTTGAACATTAACTTATTATGTTGAAATTTTTAAGAGACTCATATAGACACTGCACAGAGAAAGCACAGCAACTCCAGCTGCAGAACTGTACTGTCCCTCCTCCTCCCCTGACTCTACTATTAACTTTACATGGCAGCACAGAAAAAAACCCAGGAAGGTATCACAGAATTTTTACTGTTCAAACAACTATATAAAGTACCGATCAGTTACTCCCAGGTAAGGAAACTTCTATTTGCATAAACTTGACACACTGAAGAGCTGAATGTCAAAACCACATTGAACTTCAATATTTAATGAGCACTATGCAGACAATGTTTTAGAAATAAACACATAACTTTCTTTTAGCCCATGTCAGATTGCAGGACAGCTGCACACAACCATCCACTAGAGGATATATTTTGAAAATAATACAATGAATTGTTGGTGACTTCTCTGCACAAGATCTAGAATCTCTAGAATCAGAATGAAAGAAGCCTGCAGTTCTGTAAATATTTTGAATAATTGTGAATTCACTTGATGGGGATTCTTCATAACTGCAAAGCACTGAAACTGCTACTTTATACTGCAAATACAGAAGAGAAGAGTTCAGATAGTACTCACTAGTACCCTTAAGGTCAATAAGATGAGAAGATAATTAACATATATGAAGTTTAAAATAATGGGTAAAGCCAGGTTCCCACAGATATAAACAGCACTGTAATCTTAAATGGAAACAGTGGCTTAATCAATTTAACTTAGTTTTTGCTGAAGTATTTACTCAAAATAGTATTTTAGTTAACGGATCAGGTCCAGCAGCTACAATATATTGCTTTCAATTCATCAGATATATTAGTAAACAAATACTCTAGTAAATACAGTTTAGTTACAAACTCACAAATTTACTAAATAGAGCCATCCAAATGTATTTCAAGTCTGGAGGTGACTGACAAAGAGGGGCCCTTCAGCCTGTGTGCATTAAAGTTTAAGCCTTTCTCAGTCACAAAATACAGGAAGGATGAAGGAAATAAATCTTGGGAGATGGGAACTTGATACAGAATCAGAGGTGCACAAACAGCTTCAGTATGCATTTTTTCAGATTTCTAAGTGAGGAAAAAAAACCCCACACAACGTGCAACCCTACCCACCCTAAGTCATCAGTGGAAAGTAAAAACAGGCTGCTGGAAAAAATGTTTGGTTTTTATTTTGCTTCCATGAGTTATTTGACCATACCCTGGTTACTCTTTAAAATTATGGCAGGAAACTAAATTTTGAGTGCATCGTCTACTTTGTTAGGGAAAAAACTCAAACATGCCTCATTTGGGAAAAAAAATTAAGATTACCATCTTCAATTCCTGCACAGCACTGTATGAAAAGATTTTATGTGCAGTAAGAAGGCTGGTTGCAAACATCTCATCTTTGTCCAGGTTACACACTGATCCTGCTTAAAAAACAAAGGTTCAGTAGTGATGACCAAGGAATATATAAATCACTATGTTTTTTAGGAAGTAGAGATGAAAAAAACAAAGAAAAAAAAAAAAGGGATGTGCATGCTTTCATTCCCCAGAGTACCAATCAGTAATGTTGACAATAGGTACTCAGTTTATAATGCATTATGACTAACATGCACAAAACCCAGAAAACTTCCTTTGAAATAAAGAACAAAAAACCCGAGGAACAACGGGCTTAGCAAAATCAATCACTCGATCAATCAATAAAATACAGTCAGGACGACTGCCTATTTTTTATCTCCCCTTCAGTCTTTTGCTGTAAATAGTGATGGGAACATTTCCCCCCACCCCCATGAAAGAATTATGGCATCAAGTACCCAGTCTCACATGAAATTTAACATGAAGTTTACAATGCACTACTCCACTGCTCATTTACAGACTTACCATTGGATAGTGCTTGCTGAAGTTCATTATCAGATATTACTCCACTCCTGTCTTTATCAACCCTAGGGAAAAACATAACAAAAACAGCAACCAGTAAGCTTTAAATGGCTGAAATTAGCAGGTTCCACCTACAGAAGACTTCAACATTCTGGTTCTTACTCACCAGATAAAATAAAACTTTTCCCAAAAGGTCACTAATTGCAATTTACTTGGTAAATAATTCAGTTACTGCAAATTAAGTGCTTCATTCAGACTGGTGAGACATTCTGGAACATGATAAAAGCTACAAAGAAAACTGCATGACTTGAGTGAAGAGACACAAAAAGCCACACTTACAAAAAAACAGTTTGGACATATTTGATACAAGAAAGTATTTTTCACAGAATCACACAGATTAACAGAATGTTTGGATTGGAAGGGACCTTAAAGATCATCTAGTTCCAACCCCCCTGCATGGGCAGGGACAAAAACATAACAAAAACAGCAACCAGTAAGCTTTAAATGGCTGAAATTAGCAGGTTCCACCTACAGAAGACTTCAACATTCTGGTTCTTACTCACCAGATAAAATAAAACTTTTCCCAAAAGGTCACTAATTGCAATTTACTTGGTAAATAATTCAGTTACTGCAAATTAAGTGCTTCATTCAGACTGGTGAGACATTCTGGAACATGATAAAAGCTACAAAGAAAACTGCATGACTTGAGTGAAGAGACACAAAAAGCCACACTTACAAAAAAACAGTTTGGACATATTTGATACAAGAAAGTATTTTTCACAGAATCACACAGATTAACAGAATGTTTGGATTGGAAGGGACCTTAAAGATCATCTAGTTCCAACCCCCCTGCATGGGCAGGGACACCTCCCACTAGACCAGGTTACTCAAAGCCCTGTCCAACATGGATTGAACACTTCCAGGTATGAGGCAGCTACAATTTCCCTGGGCAACCTGTGCCAGTGTCTCACCATCCTTACAGGACATACTTTGTTTCTAATATCTAATGTAAGTATAAATGTCCCCTTTTTCAGCAGAAAACCATTACCCCTTGTCCTATTCACCACATGTTATTGTAATGACAGGACAAAGGGCAACAGTTTCAAACTGAAAGAAATCATACTGCGCACACTCCTGAGCTACAGCACATACTTTTCCTTCTAACTTTTCTTCACCTGCCACTTACACAGTATCCAGGCTGTGCACTGTCAAAATCTTAACAAATCCTCTTCCTCCAAGTAAAGAAAATCTCCTTGACTACTGAACTAAAGGCTGTTTTGGGCACCTGGCAGTAAGAGCACAGCCACAAGGACTCTGCCACACCCCCACTGAAGCCAGGGATGGGACTTTTACATTTATTTTTAAAAGAACTGCAGAGGACACCACACTGGCAAAATCTACAAAATGTCTCACCGCAGTAAGCTGTTGGGCTCCCAAACAGGAGCTGGAGCACCTCTGCTATGAAGACAGGCTGAGAGAGTTGGGGCTGCTGGGGCTGTTCAGCCTGGAGAAGAGAAGGCTCTGGGGAGACGTTATAGCACCTTCCAGTGCCTGAAGGGGCTACAGGAAAGCTGGGGGAAAATCTTTTCACCAGAGAGGGCAGTGATAGGACAAGGAATGATGGTTTTAAACTGAAAGAAGGGAGACTTAGGTTAGCTATTAGGAAGAAATTCTTCACCATGAGTGTAGTAAGGCACTGGAATAGGCTGCACAGGGAGGTTGTGGAAGCCCCCTCCCTGGAGGTGTTTAAGGCCAGGTTGGATGAGGTTTGTGCAGCTTGGTCTAGTGGGAGGTGTCCCTGCTCATAGCAGGGAGGCTGGAATCTGATGATCTTTAAGGTCCCTTCTAACCTTAACCATTCTATGATTCTATGATTCCTTCCCCATCTCAAAAATTATATATACCACATACAACATTCAAATTGCAAGCATAAACGGCACAGATTATAACAAAATGATACTCCACTTTTTTTAATTCTCTATTTCTTTTGAAGGTATTCTGAAATCCTTTAAACTTTCATGAGCTGCTACCAGCTTCTAAGCTGATATTTTCATGGAAATGCGTTATGACCTACTTATCTTGCTCCTCAGCAGCACCAGTCAGAGCATATTCATTTCATATACAAAATGATGCAAACTCAAAGTGGGGCTTCCTCAGCAACATCAGGTATCAACCCTGGATTTCATCCGACCACCACGCAGTGATCATGACCTGGCCATGACAGGGTGATACGGCCCCATCACTCAGGGCTGTTAGGTGCTCCTGCAAGGCCTCACTTACTGTAGGAATGGATTAGTGTAACCAGCAAACTCCATCTGATCGTTCACCTTCTTTTCCCCCGTGGTGTTCCCGAACGTATGGAATAAAGATCCCAGAATAGCTCTGCCTGTCAGGGTGGCACATGACCACATGTGCTTCCTCTTAGTCAGTCACTGAATCACCGAAGGACCCTCCCTTTCATTCTACGTCTACTGCATTTCTTTACAGGCCTTTAACACCTACATTATGCTGACAGCCCCTCAGGACACTACACAGATACACCAGTGACACCAGCTCTATGCACACTCAATCCCTTCTCAGCACGCTTTAGGATTTACACAGCAGTTTGCCAGCCGGGAACGCTCCCAACAAAAGCCACGCAGCCCTCCTGACCAGCTACGTTATTTTAAATGGCTTCTACGGGTTTGCACACCGTGTCCACCTGCAGGCCCCGGAGGTCTGGGAGGGCAGGGCCTGCAGGGAGGCTGGCTGGGTGAGCTGCCGCATTCCTGACTCACTGCTGAGCTGCTAAGCAAATACCGCCGTTTTCAGCAACTTAGCAGAACTGCCCGTCTGCTCCTTAACCCCTCCTCGCTCTCCCCGGAGCCCACAGACCCTCCGGCCCATCTCCCCGGCTCCCCCCACACCACACAGACCCGAAGAACCCCAGCACTACGGCCCCAACACCGCGCTGCGGCGTCCCGGCTGCCTTCACCGTGGGTCCCCCTTCCCCTGCCCTCCAACACAGCCCCGCTTACTCCCCCTCCATCACGCAGCACCTTCCTCCCGCCCTGCCGGCCCC